AATTGTGCAAAGACAAATATTTTTCTTGCAAATAACATGAGTTACATCAAAAATATTTTATTTAATTTATTTGCATATTTATAAAGCAAACTACTTCTTTAAGAATATTCAAGCTCCTGAACTCTACTAAAATATGGTCCAAGGACGGCTTCCAACTCTGCCACCTTCATTACCTTCGTTCGGCGTAACTGAGAATTTACTTAGTTGGAGAAATCCCTGGCCTCCTCAATTTGCAATATGAGCTCCCTGGAAGATCTCGACCTGTCTCAGAATAATTTTGGATGGAATTATTCCTGAATGTCTGGAAATTTAAGTCATTCTCTGTCAGTCATGGATCTATTTATGAATAATTTTCATGGTGTAATACCAGCTGGAATATTTCCTAAAGGCTGTTCGTTGAAAAGTTTCCCGTATCGACAGCAACCAAGTTGAAGGGCCAATACCACAATCTTTGTTAATTGCTTGGACTTAGAAATTCTTGATCTCGGGAACAATGACTTAAATGACACCTTTCCTAGCTGGTTAGGAAAATTGAAAGGATCTACATGTTCTTGTCTTGCGGTCCAATAGATTGTATGGTCACATTGTCAATCCTGAAGTAGTTGCATCTTCCTTCTCTAATATGCGGATCATTGACCTCTCTCAAAATGACTTCCATGGCAGCTTGCCAATCAAGATTTTTGAAAATTTGTATGCTATGATCAATGGGTCTGAAAGGAAAGGTGAATATATGGGATATCTGTATTCTGATGAATATCAAGTGTATTATGAGTGTTCTCTATTGCTTACAACAAAAGGGCTGGAGAGGCAGTTCCTGAAAATTTTAACCATTTTAATGGTTATTGATTTTCAAATAATCGATTCGACGGGCAGATTCCTGAAATACTTGGACAACTTCATTCACTTGTTGTCCTAAACCTCTCTCACAATGGTTTAACAGGTCCAATCCCATCATCCTTTGGCAATTTGTCAATGCTCGAGTCATTAGATCTCTCATCAAACAAGCTTCAAGGAAGAATTCCGCAAGCGTTAAAAAATCTTGGATTCTTAGCGGTGTTAAACCTTTCTCAGAATAATCTTACGGGGCCCATTCCTGGAGGCAAACAGTTTGATACTTTCACAAATGATTCCTACAGTGGGAACTTGGATTTATATGGATTCCCTTATCAAAAAGCTGCGGTAATAATGATCAGAAACAGCCTCCAACAAAAACTGATAGAGATGATGCACTCAATTGGAAATTTTCTATACTGATGGGGTATGGATGTGGCCTGGTGTTTGGATTGAGCACGGGATACATTGTATTCACAAACTGGAAAACCATGGTGGTTCATTAAGATCATTGAGCTCTGTCAACAAAAATATTTTGGAAGGAAAATCCGGAGAAGTGGAGGAAGAAAATAATTCAGCTGATTAATGCTCTTAGTCTTAGGTGAGTTACAATAGTTCTAATAAAGTAACTGCTGTTTTTTTATTACCATACCTTTCTCTTTTCTTTTTTTTTTTGGCTATTAGATGGAAGGACTAAACCTCAAATTTTCTCTGACAAGTTTTAACAAATGTTTCCAGTTTGGTTGTGTGCCTCTTGCAATAAGGATACTCAGAAGGGAAGTTAATTTCTTCCACAAACAGTTTTTCAAGCCTGGTGGATTGTCATCACCAATTTCAGTTGTAGTATTCGTATCCTATTCATAAGATTTGGTTATGGTATGTATTTAGACTTCGATATATTGAACTATACGTGCTGTGTAGCATATATTCTCCAACATTTTCTTCAGCACTATATTAGCTTCAATATTAATGCTCAAATTTAGGATCTGTAACACAAGCCTTGGTCTGATGAATAACTTGGGCAGGTAACAAGGCAAAGATGAAACTCCTGTATGAAACTTTTATTAAAATGCATGGTGTTCTTCCAAATAGAAACAGGACCTAGATTAACATTGAAGCACGCCAAAAGTACCCCCCAGATATC